AGCTAAGCTAAAGCTAAGCTAAAGCTAAGCTAAAGCTAAGCTAAAACAGAACTCACACTAAGCTACAGCTAAGCTAAAGCTAAGCTAGAGCAAAGCCAGAACTCAGCTAAAGCTCAGCTGAAGCTCGGCTAAAGCTCAGCTAAAGCTAAACTCAAGCTAAGCTGCAGCTATGCTAAAGCTACGCTGAAGCTAATGCTAAGCTAAAGCTAAGCTAAAGCTAAAGCTAAAGCTCCCAGGGGACTGGGGGAACCGCGGGGCGGATCCTGGGGGGGGCGCCCAGGGCGGGGGGCGCTGCCCGGCCCTTCAAGCATACAGGGTAAGAACCCTTCTAGGCAGAGCCTAGGACTATTAATCAGTCAGAGACGAGCGCGCGTTCAATCGGGGCGCTGGCGAGACGGGCGTGGGTGACGATTGGAGGGGCGAAGGTAAAAGGGAGTTGCGAGGGCTTTAGACGGGATGGATTGAGTTCCGCGCCATCTGGAGGCGATGACGGCGCGCGACCAGTGACCGTTATTCTGCCGAGGTCAGCGGCGGCAAACAGCAAGGCTTGTGAACGCCGGATGTGGCGAGATGGCCATGGAAGTTAGAAAGGAATAGGATGAGGATGGTGAGATGTTGAACCAGGGTCCTGAGGTCGAGGTTAGCAAGGGACCAGGTGGCGAGGGCCTGGACATAGATAAACCATGCCATGCCGATGAAGAACAGGATGATATGGACCTGGATGAGGTACGCGTCAGGTGAAGCGTTCTGGGGTCTGACGCCGAAGTTGCGGGGTGGTTCGCCGCTGCCGATTTGGATGCCGCCAAACATGTCTATGCAATTAGAGCGGCAGTGAGGTTATGCTACAAGGGGCAGCCCAATGCCATGTGCAGCTGCATGTTTGCGAGGCCTACTCGCCAGTCCGGGTTGCTGGCGCTGCGGGGGGGGGGGGAGGGGGGGGGGGTGGCGGGGCCCGTGCCAGTGTTGGCCATGCACTTAAGAATTACATGTTATGTATATGCCCCCCCCTTTCCCTCGGGATTTTAAGGATCTTGCGGCGATGCGAGCGACGTCGAATGTGTTCATCGAGAGCGCGGCAGTCCTGCGGCGCGGCGCAGGTCCGATGCGCGCAGTCTCCGGCGGGCTACAGGCATGTAATTGGAAACGCCTGGGGCCAGAAAAGATGAAGGATCTGTTCGGCTGTGGGGTTGCAGAGCCTCGAGTTCGCGTCTGGGGTCATGCGATGTCCAGATAAACAGCGGCTTATTTTTTTGGAAAGCGCCGCGTGAGGGCCTCAAGCTGGACCGCTTCGCTTCAGTGAGTAGCGGGGCGCGGGGGCGCGCGGGCGTGGGGCGGCGGCGCGCGCCGCCGCGTTCTAGAACTGGCGGTCGCAGGAGGGGGCGCTCGTGAAGAAGCTTCGCGGTCGATGTCCAACGGCCCTGCGTCAGAAGGGCCCTCGGCGTGGAATGTCGAGGCCAGCGTCGGCGCGTCGAGTCTGCGGGGGGAGGCAGAGCGGGGGGATCAGAGGTGCATCCAGACCGACTTTGCCGAACGATGCTGGAAGGCGTAGGTGGCCAGATGGTGGCTGATGGCCGATGTGGGTGCTCATGCAGAATCTGTGGCTACGAGATTAGCGGGGGTGAACCTGGCGAGGGGGTGGGTATTCATGAGAGCGGGTTCGAGCCGAATGATTGTGAAAATGGGCCAGTGTTAACTTGGGCCAGTGCAGATCCTGGCGCGTCTTGCCTCGCGCGTCCAGGAAGTGACGGGCCAGCGTGGAGCGCGCTTCTGCGCGGGGTGGCCGGGGCATGGGCGCCGGCCGGGCACGGGGCAGGGAGGTCAGCGATGTCGAGGGAAAGGGCGGGGGAGATAATTCAGAGAAGGACCGCGCAACATTGCCATTGTCATTGCTTTTGCCAGCCGAGTTGCCTGGGGCGCCCCGCCTCGCCAGTGGATATGTGGGTCGTGCCAGAGCCGGTGGCGGTTGGAAGTTCCAGGGGCGTGCGAGGCGCGCGGGGGTGTTGCCGAGGTATTTCCAGTTGCCAGAGGCGACGTGTGTGTAATTCACGGCGGACATTGAAAAGTACAGGCGTGCGGTGACGTGCCAGGAAGTGAGCTTGATCCAGAACTCGCGTTCCCAACTTGAGGGGGAAGAGATTAGGCAATGTGGGGAACGCGAGGTCATCGAGAAAGTAATGGAGAAGGAATGCCTGGCTGTCGCTGGAAATGCCGCCATGGGCGCGAGGTGCGTTGATATCAACAGCGGGAACAAGGCCAATCGTGAGTGCCGATCCCAGCTGGTTGCACAGCAAATTAAGTGCAATTCCAAAGAGAAGATCATGTTCGTGGCTGCCCGTCCATTGGAAGCGCGAGAGCGGTTATTTTCTATGGTTGTTGCCGAGGCAATGGGGCATGACCTGGGGGGCGCGAGAGAGGACTGCAGCTGGGATCGATGTTAATCGGGCGTACTTCTACGCCGAGGCCAGAGAGGGCGCCTTCACCATCAGGTTGGCCGAAATAGTTCGCCCACTGGGCATGCGTGGGAGATTGGTATTGAATTATATGTGCGGATCCCGATGCGCCGCTTGATTTTTGCGCGCGATATCGGTCCTGGCAACGGAGAAGTATCATCGTGTGTATTTAAACATAACAAGGCCAATATGGCTAACGGTTCATGGAGTGATTCTTCTTTTTTGGGTCATGTTGTTGATCTCGAAGCTAATCCGAGCAAGACTCGGACCTGGGCCAGCGGATCTGCAGTCGATTAGGGTCCTCAACCGAACTGTGGAATGGGGCCGGGATGGGCTTTGGCACGGGGCGGACCAATTTCGTGCGGATATATGTGTGAATGAATCGGGTTTGGTTCAGAATTCGATGAGATGCGATATGCCTGGTGCCAAACCAAGCTCGCAAGAAAGAGGGCGAGGGGCTCCTCCCAAATCGCGAAGTTAAGGAGTGCCGAGCCTTAGTGTCCTGGCCAACTTATCTCGCGCAGGACCGCGCGGACATGCAGTTAGCAGTCAAGGGGCTTGCGCGCTTCATGTCGGCCCCAGCCCGAGGGGCATGGGCAAGTTTCGCGCGTTTAGGCAAGTGCCTCAAGAACCGCGACGCGCGCTGGAATCCGTATCTGCATCAAGAACAACCTTTGGAGTTAACTTCATGGACCGCCATTGACTATACCGGATGTAAGAACATATTCAAGTCAAAGAATGGAGGAACAGTTTTGTGGGGATCACAATTGATGAAGTTGTGCGCTGGGGCTCAGAGCGTCGTGGCATTATCTTCTGGAGAAACAGAGTGTTGTGGAATAGTGATGGTTGTGTCAGTATTGTTAGGACTTCTCAAAGACTTCAAAGTTGATTGTGGTCTCGTGTTTAATCGCCATTCTAGCACGTCTGCTGCCACTGCGAGCCGGCGATGGCTTGGGCAGCTCAGACATGCCAGGGTTTGTCAGCTTTGGTTAAAGAGATGGAAGGCACGGCGAGGATACATCAACGCGATCAATGTAAATGAGGACCTTGCAGATGCTTAAACGAGTGTGTGAGCAGGGGCGCCATGTCCGCGCGCGTGCGAGGTACCAATCAAAATGTTGTTAACGGAAGGCACGAGCTGGCACCTGCTACGGAGTGTTAGTGTATATGTGCGTGTATATAGATACACATGTAAATTTTGCCGTGTGCGTTTCGCTTGCCTCTCTGCCAGTGACTTGAGCTCAGGATCAGTTGAGATCCAGGTTCTGGTCTGCACGCATAAACACGACATGCTATGGTAATCAGACTGCGTAATTCAGAATTTTTGTGACACTTTGAGTCGTGTGTCACGTGTTAGGAGGCCCCTGCACGTTTGCGCCCAAATCTTGGTCGCCTTTTGCCTATGCCAGTTGCGCGCGGACTTGATGTCACATGTTGCTCGCCTGGCTGTGTTGGAGACCCGGCCGTTGACTGTGCTTACTTGTGCGGATGACTTGCTTAGAACTCGTCCGTTATCCAGTCGCTTTTGCTGTTTTCTGTCTCGCCCGTCTCCACATCGGGCTGATCAGTCGAAAAGGGGGGTTCAGATTGTTGAGTTCCGATTGGGTGGGCGGGACAGGCCAGTGTGACTCTATAGTTTGGTAGAGCATATGCTGTGTCGAATACCCGTGTAGCATAACAGTTTTGCTACAGTGGTGCATGTTAGTTGGGGGCCGCAGCGGCTTGGACCTAGTGCTATCGCCTTGTCGTGTAAAAACAAACGCCTGCCAGATTTTCAGGAGGAGGAGGAGGAGGAGGAGGAGGAGGAGGAGGAGGAGGAGGAGGAGGAGGAGGAGGAGGATAATCCACACCCCCGACGTTTTGTGTGTTGGTATTCGCCCATGACGTGGGCCCCCAGAGGTGTGGTTCCCTTCCTCGGGATTGTTTTTCATCCTGAAGTGTTCTTCGACGTTCCCGAGGCTTTGTAAGAGCCCTGGAGGTCGAAAGTATAGAAAATCCTTTGCCATGATTTTATCTATTCACCAGAGGGGGCCAGGGATGCTGTTGGGATGCCCCCCGTTCCATCCTCCAGGGCGCTCTCGTCCGGGGCGGGTCCGCCGGGAGCTTGGCTGCGGGTTCCGGCGTGGCCAACAACGTCCAGGGCGACTTGCGCAGGTATCGGGCGTTGCGCAATGGGGCGGGCGATGTATGGGGGGGGGTGAAAGAAGTCGGCGGCGAGCGGGGGGGCAAGTGAGCAGGTGAGGGCTCTGTCAACAGGCGGCGGGGCTTTCCAGAAACGCTCTGGCCTTTTGAGAAGGTTCTCGGCATCTTCGGGGGGGGGGGCTTCGGACATGTCGCAGAAGGCTGGGGGACTTCCGAGCCTTCCGAAACGCCCTTGTCCTTCTCACTGCCCCCCCGGGCTCGCCGCCGAGAGAGGGGCACCTTCTGTGCCCCCTAGGAGGGGGCCCTCAGAGGGGTCCCCCCTGGGGCCCAAAGAAGGGCAGGAGAGGCACACCTTTCTCCCCCCCCCGCCCCATGTGCCGCCCCCCCCTTTTGAGCCACGCCCGCAGGATGCTGATGCGGCCGCTGGTGGCGGCGAGGACGCCCGCCGGCAAGGGGGGGGGGGGTCGCCCCCTGGCTGGACGCGCGCCGCGCCGCTTGGAGGGGTATGCTGTCGAGGCTCGAGGCTTTCGGCTCCGGGGCGTTTCTCGAGGTTCCGAGGTGCGAGGCTTTCGGCTTCGATGTGCCAGGAGGGGAAAAAACACACAGACACAATTAATCGTCGATCCCCAGGAAAATATCGGAAAATATGGGAAGTGGGGGGGAAGACAAAAAACACAGAAAATCTGAGAAAATATGGGGAATATTTTTATTAGTGTGTATTTATTTGTGTGTCCTGGGGCCCCTTTCATGTGGCAGGGCTCGAGGCTTTCGGGCGTCTTCGTCGGCCCCCCCGGGACCCTGCAGCCTCGGGACGCTCTCCAGCGGCTGCGCCGCTGCCCCCTTCCTCCTCCTCCTCCTCCTCCTTTTCCTCCTCCTCCTCGTCCTCCTCCTCCTCCTCCTCCTCCTCCTCCTCCTCCTCCCCACCGGGAATGGGTGGGGCCTTGAGGTTCGAGGATTCCGGCCTCGGGGCTCGACTTCGGCTTCGGGCTTGAGGTCATCCGGCGGCATTCCAACACCATGCGCTGTCGCCGTGCGTGCTCACGGCAGGCACGGCGTGGTGCCGGCCGTCGGCGGCCCCGGCGAGGGCGTTGAGGGTGGACCGCCCGCCCGTGGCCCGGAATCGGCCCGTCGCTGAACCGTCCGTCGTTTTTTTTGTTTGTTTGTTTGTTTGTTTGTTGTTTTTTATTACAATTTTTTTTTACGGGACGGCCGATCGGTCCAGGCTGAAATTGGAGGCCTGGAAATTGGCACCGACACCAGCACAGGGGGTTGCCTCCACAGGGGGAGGATGATCCCAGATTTCGGTGTCGGTGGCAGTCTTTCGGCCACCCTGGAGGCCAGAACAGTACCACCACCACCACCGAGACCGGGACCTTCTTCCCCTGGTGGAGGCACACCGCCGACATTGGTGCTGGTGTCAACGAGGCCTGCGATGAATGACCCCCGCGGGCTTATCTTCCACCACCACCACCACGAGTTGGAGGGGAGGGGCTTCTCCTCCTCCTCCTCCTCTTCCTCCTCCTCTTTCTCCTCCTCCTCCGCCTCCTCCTCTTTCTCCTCCTCCTCCTCCGCCTCCTCCTCCTCCTCCTCCTCCTCCTCCTCCTCTTTCTCACCAGCGCCAGGGTCGACACGACACGCGTGAACCCTAACGGGCGGCTTGGGTCGTGCGTGCGGACTTTACGGGCGGGTCGGGTCGGGTCGGGTCGGGCGGACCCTCACGGGCAGGTCGGGTCGGGCGGGCGGGACATTAAAAGTGCGGGGCGCGCCGGAGCGAGCACGCGTGAACCCTAACGGGCGGGTCGGGTCAGTCGGGCGGACCTTCACGGACGGGACGACGCGAACCTGCCGTCTCCCCCGGGCGGTGCTCCGGCCTCCTTCTCCTCCTCTTTCTCCTCCTCCTCCTCCTCCTCCTCCTCCTCCGCCTCCTCCTCCCCCTCCTCCTCCTCTTTCTCCCAAACGCCGGGGTTGACACGACACGCGTGAACCCTAACGGGCGGGTTGGGTCGGGCGTGCGGACTTCCCGGGCGGCACGGGTCGGGTCGTATCGGGCGGACCCTCACGGGCAGGTCGGGTCGGGCGGGCGGGGGGACATCAAAAGTACAGGGCGCGCCGGAGCGAGCACGCGGGAACCCTACCGGGCGGGTCGGGTCGGTCGGGCGGACCTTCACGGACGGGACGACGCCAACCTGCCGCCATGAGTTGGAGGGCGACGGGCTTCTCCTCCTCCTCCTCCGCCTCCTCCTCCTCCTCCTCCTCCCTTTTTTCTCCTCCTCCGCCTCCTCCTCCTCCTCTTTCTCACCAACGCCGGGGTCGACACGACGCGAACCCGCCGTCTCCCCCGGGCTCTGCTCGAGGGCGCCGGCCCTGGGCCGAGCGGGCGCCGCGCCGCGTCGGGGCGCCCCCCGGCGCGGTGCTCCGGCTTCGGGGAGGTGCCCCTCGCCGGCGGCGCTCGGCGGCCGCGCCGAGCGCGCTCCGCCGGGGGGGCGCCCCGCGGCGTGCCGAGCGGCCGCCAGAGAGCCGAGCATGGGGCCCCTTCTCGGAAACTGGAACGTATACATTGCCACTAAATCGGGCCTGTCCCCCCATAGGGGGATTCTCGACGAAGAATGCAAAATACCCTCCAAAATAGTCAAAACATATTCAAAACAGATGGTCAGGGGATTATTTTTTCAGTATTTTTTTGGTACTTTTTTGGGGTATGTTTTATTTTTCGTCGAAAATCCCCCTGTAGGGGGACACGCCCGACTTAACATTACCAGTGGCGGGCTGTTTCTTGAATCCCAGGACTTTTGTTGGGGGATTGGGGACGACGCTGGGGTGGTGTGGTGTATACCTGTTTCCCCGATGTCCCGGGAAAGCAACGAAACATGTATACACCAGGATCCCGTATACACCAGAATCCGCGTTCCTGTGCGAATTTCAGCGCAGTGTCGGGAAAAGCGTTGGTGTCTAGAGTTCGTTTCCCTACCCTCCCCCCCCAGCTGTCGGGGGCAGCGTTGGGTCGGCGTCACCCCAACATACCTATACTATGTGTGCGTCGCCCCCCCAGGGGCGACGCGCGCACCGAGAAATCTTATTCTTATAGTGTGTGCGTCGTGGCGGGCGCTTTCTGGCCGCACCGCTCGGGAGACGATACACTACAGGATGGGTGTACTACACGTTCGGGTCGGACGCGCGCCTCCGAGGAGGACAGAGAGTATTAGTATGTCCCTGTGCGTCCTATGAGGGGGGGGGGATAGGCTCAAGGGGGGGGGATGCGTCGACCCCCAATCGCCCAACAGTCACCGACAGGGGCCCGACAGCCCACCCCGCCCAGGAGCGTGCGGGTTCGCAGTCGGGTGTGCGCATCGCCGATCTGTAGACGATGTATCTAAGAGGGGCCCGGGGACACAAACGGACAGACACACCTCCCAGGATTCCCCATATTTTCAAATGTTTTTTGGGTTTTCGTCATCCCCTCCATTTTCCGATACTTTCCTATATTTTCTTGGGGATCGACGATTCATGGTGTCTGTGTGTTTCTTCTCCTCCTGGGTGTCGAAGATTCCAGCTCGGTGTTTCCTTCTCTGAGTTGGTGCTGCCCGACCGTCCCCCCTTCAGAGGGGTGGATCAAGGATCGAGGCTCGAGGCTCGAGGGTCGAGGTTCGAGTCCGCAGGAGGCATCTATACACCACCACCGTGCCTGGCTAGGGCCATCCTGGGCCCTGGGGTGGTGTGCAGACCTTCCTTGCCTGGGCCAGGGGGGCGTGCCATGCCAGGGCCCAGGGTGGCCCTGACCAGGCACTGTGTTGTGCCAATGTCCTCTGCTTGTCAAAGGTCAAGCCTCGAGTCTCGTGGGTCGTTGGGCCTGAGGGGGCTTCCTGATCGCTACGGCTGGGTCCTCCTTCAAATTATGCTCAGAGCACACCCCTGGGTTGAGGGAGAGAAAAGAGGAGGAGGAGAAGGTTGAGGAGGAGGAGGAGGAGGAGGAGGAGGAGGAGCAGTGTAAACCCAAGACCCGTTAACGATCTTGCAATAAACCTTCCCGGGTCGGGCACGTGCCTCGACAGGAGGAATGTTCAAAAACGGTGTAACAAAAGAGGCCAGGGACGATTTTGTGGCTGCCTTCGGCCCTTTTGGAGCACTTTTTTTTGGACCATCTTCTACAGTCAGTCAACGCGCATAGTAAGGACGCCTGCCGCCCAGAATACTTCAACTTCGGCCTCCAAGGGTCTTGCGTCCTTGCCACGCGTCCTTACTATACGTCTTCACTGTACTTTTCGTCCAAAACCCCCCGGTGGGGGGACATGCCCAACCCAACTCTGGCCCGCCACGCTTCGGCGCGACACGCTGTCCACGTCCGGGGAGCTGACGAGTACAGGCGGCCCGGATTTCGGGGGCGGCAAGGAGGGGGTTGCTGCGGTTGCTCTCCCGGGTCGTCCACCTTGCGGGGGGCAATTTTGGCCAGCGGGGTATGCATGACGAGATTGGCAAGCCTTCCCTGTGCATGGAGCCAGCGACGCCGGAGGCTTCGCATCGCATTTCGCTGTGGTTTCACACCCCTTTCTTTTGCCAATGCACCTCTGACGTGCACGGCTTCTCTTTCTTCTTTCTTTCAAAGAGGGGGGTGATGACTAGGGGGGGGGTGGATATCATGGCGTGGGCCATGATATCTGGCCCGCCACGCTTCGGCGCGACACGCTGTCCACGTCCCGGCCCCCAAGCATCAATACGCCCCGAGCGAGACAGGCCCGGCAGCCCACCCCGCCCATGGGGCAGGCGGTTTCGCCCTCGGGCCGGGGAGCCCGTCGTCGATCCGTCGCAGGTCCCGGGTCGACCTCTCCCCCTCTCAAATATCTTATCACGCTGAGGAGGGCAAGGTCACGAGATGCCTCAGAGGAGGATGCAAATCTTGTGCGTGGACAGCTCCTGGACTTACGATCTATCTTTGCCGGTCCCCCGCTGTCGTTCCCCCTCACTGGTGGTGGTGGTGGTGGTGGTGCCAGTCCGAGTTCGGGCCCGGTCGCTCTGTGGCCCCCGGCCCCTCATGCCTTGTGTGGGCGCCTCCTCCTTCTCCTCCTCCTCCTCCTCCTCCTCCTCCTCCTCTCCCTCCTCCTCCCCCTCGTGTCTGGGCTCGGCTGCTCCGTGCTTTGCGTCCTCCCCGTTCCCCTCCCGTCCCTGCGCGAGGATCGTGGCAGCGTAAGACTGGAGTTTGCCAGAACTTGGGTCGACGCTTCTTGACGGGCCCGTCCTGGGTTTTGACGGTCCCATTGACGCAGGATGTTTGCAGAGGGAGGTCGCGTCGAACTTCAGGCCAGGTCTCGTCCTTCTCCCGGTGGCCCCGTCAGGCCAGCCCGAGGCCCCCGAACCCGAGTCTTACGTCTCCGCGACCCCTGCGCGAGGAACAGTACGGCCATGGCCGACGGCTTCTGGCACGTCGTGGAGGGCACGTTTCAGCCAGCGTCGCCCGCTGCGGCGCCAGCGCCGACGCCGGGCGGTGGCGCGGGCAACTCGAGCGCGGCCGCGAGCGAGCCGGGCAGCACCGCGGCGGCCGCGGCCGCGAGCACGAGCGCGGCGAGCGTCTCGGTCGCCGGGGCCCCCCGGCGGTCGTCGCGTGTCGTCTCGACCGTCTCCACGACCACCACGCAGTGCATGGTGCCCGATGAGGGGGATGTCGGCGGGCACCAACTATACGCCTCGGAGAACAGATGACGACATTGGCACAAACTCTCGGAGGTCCGCGCGGATTGCTCCGATCGGCGCTGGAGCCCCTTGGCGGCGCCTCCGGCACCGCCCCTGGCGTGCCCCGCGCGACGGGGAATGGAGGTCCAGAGCCGCTCCGAGGACTCCGCGCGGGCCCCCGAAGGTTTGTGCTTCATGTCGTTACCTGTGCCTCGATGTACACCTGCACCTATCCTGGCCAGGCCGATCCTGGGGATCGGCACATATATGTTATATGTATATGTATAGGTGAACACATATGTGTATACACATACATATGTACATATGTATATGCATGTATATACATGTATGTATGTACACATGTGTATGTATATGTATGTTTATACACGACTGCAGTGGCGCTTCGCGCCATGCACCTTGGTCCTTGACGTTTGGTATGCAGGCGGAATAGCAGGAAGGTCAAGCCGACAATTTAGCGATAACTCCTGGTTGCCTTTTCTGGCATCGCCGCTATAATCATGTTATTCATTATCCTTCCTCCATGCTCATTTTTCCTTATTTTCGCCATGCCCTGCGCATTCTCCCCATCCTCCTCAGCTCTTTTTGCGGAGGCTCCTCTTTGGATAGCCTCTAGGGGCCTCGCAAAAGTTGTTTCAGGCTTTCTTGAGGCCTTCTGCAGACCTCATGGGCGTATTCTGGGGGCCTCCGGGGGCTTCCTCGGGCCACCCTGCCTCCAACCGCGGTCTCCCTGAACGACCGAATCACGATTTGGAATTCTTCGGAGGGTGTCTTTGGGCCATCTTGGGCCGCCATGGGGCTCTCTGAGGGCCATCTTGGACCCGTGTTGTGCCGTTTTGGGGCTCTCTTGAACTGCCTGGAAGCCCTTTCGGGTGGTTGTGGAGCGATTTTGGAGCCTCCCAGGCGGCTTCGGACGCCCAGAAGACCGCCGTCTTGGAGCGTCGGGAAGCCGAAAAGAGGAGAACCCTAAAATTCACCAAAAAACAACAGAAAATCAATCATTTTTGTCTCGGGGGGCCTTCTTGGGAGTGCTCTTGGAGGCCTCTTTGGGGCCGTCCTCGTCCTGGAGGCCTCTTGGGCCATCTTGAGGTCACGTAGGTCACTCTTGGGGCGCTCTTGTGCTGTCTTGGGGGTCTCTGGGACGTATCCGATGACCCCCCTGATCGCCCTAGGTGTGCTGGGAAGGCTTGGCAAAACGCCATGTGAGGCCCGGCGGCCGCTTCGAGGCCCGTCTGGAGGGTCCTAAAGCCCCAGATCCCGGGAATCCGTTTTTTTTTGGGGGGGGAGGGACGGGTTTTCCCCCCGCCCGGGCTTACAAAAATATAGGAAGAGGAATTTTCGTCTCCGCCTAATTCAAGCTTCGCGCGGCCCGGTTAGCTTCGATCGGAAGAGGTGCGCTCTCGACCCGCGGACCCAAAAGTATATTCATATGTGCACGTCTGCATCGCATGCAAGATTTGCCTCGGCTCGCTGCGTCTCGAGACAATGTCGGTCGCACGGCGCCAGGGCGGTTCGCCGCGACCACCGGTGCCCTCTGTGCAGCGGACCTCTGGCGCCGGAGCTTCGCCGGGCGCGTGAGGCCCAGCGCTGCACCCGCATTGGGCCCTCCGCGCGTGCGGGTTCTTCTCTGGGGCCCGTGGCGCCCAGGAGGCGCTCGCTCCGTCGAGCCTCCTCGCGCGGGTCGTCGGGCTCGCGCGGCTCGCGCGGGTCGTAGGGCTCGCAGGGCCTCTGGGGGTCGCAGGGCTCGCAGGACTCCATAGGCTCATAGGGCTCATAGGGCGCGTAGGGCCCATAGGCCTGGTGGGGCTGGCGGGGCTCATGGAGCTCATGAGGTTCCTAAGGCTCATGGGGGCCGTAGGGCCCCGTAGGGGTCGTAGGGTTCATGGGGCTCTTATGGGTCGTAGGGCTCGTAGCACTCATGGGGCTCACGGTCACGCGGCTCGTAGGGCTCGTAAGCCAGATGCGGTTCGTAGGGGCCTGTATGGGTTATGGGGCTCGCAGGACTCGTAGGGCTTGTAGGGCTCACGGGGATCATGGGCTCGTAGGGCTCATGGGGCTTATGGGGGTCATGGCGCCCATAGGCCTCGTAGGGCTCGTGAGGTCATATGGCTCGTAGGGCTCATTGAGCTCATGAGGGTCGTGGGGGTCGAGAGGTTTATATGGCTCATGGGACTCGTAGGAATTTCAGGGCACGCGAGGCTCGTAAGGTTCGCGGGGCTCGTAGGGCTC